ATGACGAAAACGGAGGGGGGAAGAGATGGCGGGAGGGAACGTTTCCGTTCGGCCGGAGTGCACCCCAGGCCATCCACCCACTCACTTATACTCGCCCAAATATTAACCTAGATAGCAGTTATCCGCAACCAAAGTCTGCAATCCTCTGCCCTTTTGGGGGCAGAGAAAGCCCCTGAACTGAAGCTTGCAGCCTGCTCCAGCTCCTTCCGAAGGGAAGCTTCCGAGTCGCCAACAACCTGCGGTGCCACCGAAAACGAGTAGGGTTCCTTTAAGGGGGTCCTTGAAGGCTCGACAAGGGATCTATGATAGGGGCCTTAATGCTTAGAATAGGGTTTTGGGGTAGATTATGCTATAATTATAACAAGGAGCCCCCAAAATAGCATAGGTAATTATTTCGGCCCCGATATTGGGGTTTAGGTTTTGTTTGTTGAGCCCCTCTTTTCGACTTTTGCTCCGGGCAACTGTCAGAATCCGCTTCGTGGAAGGGGAGTCTGTCCCCCTGGAACCCTTATATAAGCCCTGACTCACTTGCCACCCGCCGTCTTGCCATCAAGATCACAAGCTTCAACAGTGTTGGTACAGGACCCTGAGTTCGTGCCTCTCGACACCATCTGACTTCACATGAACATTGATTCAGGCAGGGGGTGAGCCAGGTTTCAATTTGGAAGTGCCATCCAGGCGATACTCAGCTTTGCTTGGAGGGTTCCGCCACAGCTCAGGGCGAAGCCACCTTCCACCTCGGCCGCCGCCACATCTGCGAGGCGAACCACCACTGCCTTTGCCAGCCGCCTGTCCGTTCGGTCTGAGAGGCTAAGCGACACTGTAGCAGAGTTGACCACTTCGGATGTCCAGGGAAGGGGCAGTCGCAGGATCTGGTTGAATGCTGGATGCGTTGCACTGAGCTCGGCGACTGCTTCCTTCTTTGCACGCGCATAGCTCTCTGGGGAGTCTTGTGCAATGGCGAGGCTTACAGCCCGGAGCTCCAGACCTGTGACCTCCGAGATTTGGTTGATCGGCGTGTGAGCTCTGTGCAGCCTCCGTGCGATGTCGGCAACCTCGACTGCGACGGGTTTGATGTTGCTGGGCGGCAGGCTTTTTCTGCTTGTAAGCACAGCATTGACCGTGCTTACCTCCACTTGCACAACGAAAGGAGGCTTGTAGGACTTGGGAAGATCCGTGATACCTAACAGCTTCACGGACAGGACCAATTGCGAAGGTCCCCTCGCCACGGCCGCCGGGATATCGGACGGCGCGGATGGAGAGAGCTCAAACCACCGCGACGAGATCTGCAAAGAGCCGGCTGGCCGGTCCTCCAGGCTGAGTGGCAGGTCAGTGTTGCAGGGCTTCCGAACCATGAACGGCTTCAGGTCGATCCGTGACGCTGATCCGATGAGGTCATCGCGAGAATAGGTGTCCTTGTCGTAAACAAGGATGTTTGCCTTCTGGCCCCTGTCGTATACCAAGAAATCTTGCACGTTTCCGTGCTCCCAGACAGGGTTCAAGGACTTCTCGACGACGGAACTCTGCCAACGCTGCTGCCCCACCTCAATGACAACGAAAGGATCCGAAGAGGGTCGCAAGCCAAAATCGGCGGCCACAAGGTCCGTGCCCTTCCTCACGAGGATTCGCAGAATTCCCACGGGAGGTGGGAAACTGAGATCCGCCTGATCGGTGTCATCGTCCTCGTTCAGGTCAACGGCGATCCGTGCTGGCAGAACGACAGACGAGCTTACAGCATGCAGAATCGTGGACCTCACAACATCGCGAAGGACGGGCATGTCCACAAAATCGGCTGCACCGGTGAAATCCATGTCCAGCCTGGGTGGATCGATGAAGAACACTGTCACGCCTCCGAAGAATGGCGGCGCAGCTTTCTCGGGATGAAACACCACGTTCAACTCACCGGAGAACTGTAAGCTCTTGATCCCGATTGGCACCCTCAAAGCTTGGATTTCAACATCCATGTCGGAGGCCATCTCGATGCTCACCTGCAAGACGATACCTTGGTCGTCCCGCTCCTTCAAGTGGATGTTGCGGAATGATGGCACCGCGCGCCCGAGATAGACCTTGGGAAACTTCACGCTGCCTTTCAACATCGCGGGCAGTGCCCGGTCGATCTCCGGGATGATCTGCTCCTGAACCATGACTTGCAGGAACTTGTTGATCCTTGGCCAAAGGATGTTCAGCAGGTTATGCAGCCACTTGCACTCCTCATCCACATCTTGAGGAGCCGGACTGGAGCTTGAGGCCCTGAAGTCTCTGTCGCCGGAATCGCTTACGGCGGAGGCACGATTCTGCAGCGCCTTCAGGGCCAGGCCGCCCGCTCCAAAGCCACAGCTGAAGAACGTGGCGATGCTGACACAATGACCCATGGCAGCTACAAGTAGATGGCATGCATGGTAGCTCAAGCTCCGGTCCAGCTACATGCAAGCTTATGAAGATGGAGTATCTGATGTTTTGGCTGCGCGCAACGTAGGAACGTGATACTCAGTCTTGGGCAAACTAAAATGCCATCTCGGAACGAATAGGATTTAGGGGTTTCGGCTTTGCAGAAATGGTTTATACATTTGAGACACTTCAATGATTCAACGAAAGCCTGCCCGAAACGAGAAAGTTCTCGGAACGCCGAAACCCGAAACAGAAAAAACCCGTATGTAACGGCACTAGGACCCACCACAAACTCCGAGACCGCTGCGCGCTGTTGCGCTCGAAGCTCCTGCTCTCGCAAGCGCGAAGCCTCCCGAGGTGTTGGTGACCATGGCATCTACCTTATAGTCTCCATTGTAGTCCTTTTTTTGGTTTGACCAAGTATATATTAAGGATTTTATAAGGCATCCCCAAAAAGGAACTACAATGGAGACTATAGGTACCTTATAGTCTCCATTGTAGTTCCTTTTTTGGGTTAACCATATCTATATAGGATCCTAACCATAAAGTTGGTTAACCAAAAAATGTAACTACAATGGAGACTACAGGTATCATCAGGGCTAGGACTTGCCAGTACTACTTCGAAGGACTAGGATTCTTGAGCATAAAACCATGAGCCCCCATATGGGAGTTTCCGAAAATAAGGGCTACCTTTTTGGGGGTCCTTATAATAAGGATCCTACTATTTAGGGTACTATATTAGGGTCCCCTTTTTTCGGGAAACCCCCATATAAACAAGTGGCACGGCCAGGATTTGGGTGAGCTAAGGATTCTACCTAAACTTGGAGGTTCATGGGTAGTTATAAGTAGGGTTATAAGTAGGGTAACTATAATTATAACCCATATTAGGGGACTTATAACCCCACTTATAACTACCCATGAACTTCCAAGTAGTCTCCAATGTAGTTCCCTTTTTTTGCTTAAGCCAATTGTATATCTAGGATCCTATAAGAAAACCCCCCAAAAGGAACTACCATGGAGACTATAGGTAGAGGATGTGGGTGTTTGGGCCCAGGGTTTGGAATTGATAGGGGTCGGGGCATGGTTGAAGTAGAGTTTGGCCTTGGAAAACAGAGCGCTTAGGGATTGAAAAGTTACAGACGGGTTGAGGCTGAGTTGAAAGAGCCGGGAAGAAGCGGTCACTTTGAGGCAGCCCTTGTGAAAGGAACGGAGAAGAACCTTGCCAGCTTACCGGGGATACAATTTTGGAGAGGGGCTGCTTCTGGCAAGCTCGCAAGCTGGTGGGCCAGCGCAAGATGCGAAAGCCCCTGAAGCTCTCCACCTAAGTAGGGGGCCAAAGATACTTCCGTTTTCCCTATTATAAACCCTAAACCCCAAACCCTGAACCCGGCTAGATTCCGAAGCTCCTGAAGTCCTCAAGCCCCCAGGGCCGCCTCGAGGCTCTGCATGACTTCCTTCAGGCTCTCTCGCTGAGCATCCAGCTGCGCCTGGACCCGAAGAAGATTCCCACGTTACCACTGCCAAAATGGTTTCTGGAGCTGGTGGTAGTTCCGCGGTGTGAGTTAGTAGTGGTGGTAGCACTTGTAGTGATTACTGGCAAGAGTGCTACAAGTAGTACTTCTGCTACTGGCACCGGTACTAGAACTGTCCTAGTACATAGTAATTAAGTGTAGCAGCAATAGTGAAGCAATAGTGAGCAGGAGGAGCAGCAGGAGGGAGAGGACTAGCAGCAGTAGCAGCAGCAGCAGCAGCAGCAGAAGCAGCAGTAGCAGTAGGCGTATATAGGCTTTGGCGTAAGTGTAAGCGTAGGCGAAGCGTTGTCGTCGTCGTCGTCGTAGTAGTAGTAGTAATAGTAGTAGTAGTAGTAGTAGTAGTAGTAGTAGTAGTAGTAGTAATTAGTAGTAGTTAGTAGCAGTTAGTAGTAGTTAGTAGTAGTTAGTAGTAGGTAGAGTAGTAGTAGTAGTAGTCGTCGTCGTCGTCGTCGTCGTCGTAGTACCAGTAGTAGTAGTAGTAGTAGTAGTAGTAGTAGTAGGAGTAGCATTTGGCTGTTGTCGTTGTTGCTGCTGCTGCCGTCGCAGCTGTCGTACTAGTGACTTGGTAGAACAAAATGTGGTGCAAATGCAACACACACAAATGAGGAGCATGCAGTGGCTTAGCAGGTCGGATGCTTGAGAGCGATGTCGCCGTGTTGCAGACAAGATCGGGTTCATGTGCATTCAACATGTCACCTTCCCCATATGCGGAGGGAAGACATGCTAGTAACAGTTCTCTGTAGTAGTCAAAGCACAAGGTTCAGAGTGGAGAGCGGAGCCTGTGAGCAGCTCCGCGGGCTCCAGCCCCTCGGTAGGACCTCGTCCAGTCAGGCTAGACGTGGGTGCTGCGACGTGCTGCGCATGGCTGGGTAGGGCTTGAAATTCTCCCGGGATTTCTTCGGTAGCGGCAGAAAGCCATGACAACGTAGGACGGTCTCTTTCTGAAATGACTTCGACGATCTTGTGCCCTACTGGCACTCACAAAGCGCTAGATGGGCCCGAAGCACTCTAATATTTTCATCCGCATCTCTCCTTGCCAACACGGCCTAGTGAGATGGATTGTTGCAGCTTGACAAGCATCAAACCACTCAAGACCGAAGTCGCTGCGCACGTCGTCCGTAGTTGCCAGGAGAAAGAATGCTCTGTCACCGCAACCCCTCCTGCAGATCAGATGCCTTCTGCCAGGAACGAGCGGCGAGGTCGCAGCAGCCTGTCCTCGTCGGAACGGGAGAGGATCCAGCACGAAAGATCTCTTGAAGTTGTCAGCTAGAACAGGCAATGTCTCACAAAAGCTATGGATCACATACGAGGCACCGTTGCAGTTGCAGCCGTCGACTTTCGCCACTGACGTGGAGTCGAACTGCGCAAGTGGATGGCTTCAGCATCATCTACACGTAATCTGCTCTGGGTACACTGCATCCCCATTCGGTTATCATCAGGACGACTGCGCCAGCTGCTCCAAAAAAGCGAACAGCACTCGACTTGTAGGTCACCCCGGCTAAGGCTGAGCCGGCTTTGGCACCTCTGGGCACATTGTCCCCGACATCCCGACAGCTCTCAATCCCCCACACTTCTGTCACCTCAGCAGCGCTTCGAGCTGACGATCTGCATCGCCTGCGGGCAGCATTTGCTTTTGTTTTTGATTCTTGATCTGATCAGGACATGCACCGCGACTCCCCCACCGTCTCACATCGTCATGCCATCAGCAGACATGCACCCGGAGTATGAGACGGCGCAGATGCACGGACATGCGTAAGGGCCGCGGACCTTGGAGAAGGGAGGGTCTCACAGCGAGGGCGCCGCGCCGAGGAGGCAACGCCAAGTCCTCTGACGGCTTTGCTCTGCGTCTAAGTCTAACTGTCCAACTTCTTTCACCTCTCGGCAGCACCTAGGGGCTATAGGGATAGTCTTTATTTGAAGTCTTACTACTAGCTACTACTAAGTACTACTGTTAATATTATTATTACTATTATTATCATTATTATTATTGTATTTATTATTTCCAATATTGTTTTTAACCCTTAAAAGGACCCCTAAAAAAAAGGGCGCCGCTCCTTGGAGGTGTGGCGGCTGCGGACGTTTCCGTCGAAGTCTCCCAGCTGCGCCGAACTTCCTCCACTGGGAGGTCCGTCCGGTCCCGGTTGCGGAAGATGTGTGGCCTGACATATACAAAGACCAATAAAGTGGGCCGTAAACCCCAATACTTTTCAGACCCCTAAACGGCCGTTTTTTACCCCAAACACAACCCTTTTTGCAACGCTTCCTGGTCCTGCCCTGGCCTGCAAGCTATGTCTTCGGCAGTAGGCATGAACTGCCGTGTCCTCCACTCCCTCGAACATCCTCGACCGGGGCGATGCAGAAAAAGCACACTTCAAAAAACCATCTAACCCTCAGTCTGGTCTGCACCTTGCCTCTCCAGGTTCGTCGGGTCCAACTCATAGAGTGGATGATCGGCGGGCTGATGCTCGTGGTCATGATGCTGCTCGATGCTAAAGGGGTGTGGGCTTCCCAAAGTCTTGGGAAACTCGGCCTGGCAGCGTGAGGACGGCTGAACTTTAGTCTGTGCTGCACATGCTGTGACACCCGAAACGATGGGGCTCGGTAAGGCAAGGGCTCTTGGTGTCGCAATCACTGTCCCAACCAGCTGAAGCTTGACCATAGCTCCGGGATGCGACAAATCTAGCCTACAAGCTGATATGGTCTTTCAGTCTAGCCTGGCCATAGGCTTGCAGCGACCGCTCTTAGTTCCCCACTGCACATCTCCTGCTTGCCTCATTCTGATTCTTCCATCTTGCTCTACCCTGCTTAAGCCACATGTCTTCCGTCCGTGTCTGACTCCTCGAACAGATCGGCAAGCAGGCCCAGTCCGTTCAAATTGCTACCGAGTGGGTGCCGGAAGACTTCTTGATGTGTTGCCTTCGTTGGCTCAAGCGGCGAGCTAAGTCGTAAAGCCAAGGTATAAAGTGCCTAATCCCCCAAGTATGGTGCAGAATGGTAGCTGCAGTTCAAACGCCAATGTCCATCATTGCTTCTTGCTGCAAATCGCAAGTGCGGCTGCTGATGCTTTGGCGCCGCTGACATAGCGGCCTGGTCGACGATGGGGCGCTTCGGCCGAGTTGTTTCTGCTGCTTCTTGCAGCTTAACAACGGCCCTCGCATGGAAGTTGTGCCCGATTTCCGGTCAGAATGCTGCCACACTTTGGGCTCAGCTCTGCTCCTGGTGTTCATGCTGATCTGCGGCTTCCCCCTGACTGTAGCCTTGCGCTGCCAGGCTGGAGCTTCGGCGGTCCTGCCAGCGCATCCGGCGGGAAGGGGCTACGCTACTTTCATCGCAGCTCCGCTGTACGATCGATGCTCGGGGCAGTCAGCAGTCCGAAGCGCAATCCCACCATGACGAACCCCGGACATGATCAGTGAGGTCATGTTCGTGCTGGGGGCGTTTGCTGTCAGGTTTTCTGACCGAGTTAGCTCTGGGTGGAGTATGTGCGAAAGGGACATGCGGCAACATGCGCAAATTCGGCTCGTCTCGAAGCGCCGTTGTCAACACTACGCAGCCTGAGGGCAGAAATAGGAAAAGATGCTGCTGTCCCCCCACATAGGCAGCGCAGCAAACTCAAACCCTTGGGATCCTCGACCTGATCCTCGAAAACAGCTTGGAGCAACCGCACCAAGCCAGCGGCTGTTCCAGCCTCACCTTGGGAGGCCAGGGCACCGAACTATGGGTGAAGTGAGTGCGAGCGTTTGGAGCTGAAGCTCCGAAACAAACACCGGCACTGGCACCGTGGCATCGAGCAAAGCGCAACTGAGCTGTGCCAAGGCGCGCTGAAGCATGTGCAGAAGTTCCGCCGGCATGGAGACGACACGGTGGTTGCCATCGGAGTTGCGCAGATGGACTTGAACCTGAAACCCATCACCTGCATCGCCTGAGATGAGAAGTTGTCACACATTTGGACAGCTTCGGCACGTAACCGCGGATCGACCAATCTGTAAACAAAAAATGCTTAGTTGACTCTGGGAACTTTCCTCTTCTGCTGATGGCTGCATGTCATCCTCTAGCTGTCCATCATCTGGGATCTCCACATCACGCAAGCGGAAAACAACGAGCCGCTGCAGTATCCGTGGGCCGCGAGGAGTCTGCTGAGCCCCACCCACTACAATACCAGCCTCAGCATCTGCTGCCACATGGGCGACAACAACTAGTACGTAACACTTTTCGACTTCTCACAACCGCAGATTGCTTCCATGCAACCTGCGGAGATCCAGTTTCAAAGGCGGCATGTGAGAGCGCAGGCGGCTCGTTGGAGAAGCTTAGGTCTTCCCATTTCAAGGAATGGAGGTTTAGGCGCGCGACATAACCTTTGCGTGTGCTGAGCACGCTGCCATGTCCTGCCACGCCACGGCTGGCAACAGCATAATTAGCATACACATCGCCTGGGACAGTATAACCTGCCAAGACTATTCATTGATATGCAGTGATTGCATAACTCATCCAGCTCATCACTGGGACCCTGGACATCCAAGCTTCGGCGCCTATGGTGTCTACTTACTGGGGCGGCGTTGATTCATGCATCCCATGAATCGGCGACTTTCTGCTCTACCTAATGGTGAGTTCGATCCCGTTTCCTGGAAGTGCCACGTGGGGGTATCGGAAGCTTCCCCAACAGCCCGCTGCACTTCCAGGATGCAGCGCAGGGTTCGGGTGTGAAGAAAAGCCTTTTATTACTCAGGGAATGGCCTTCATGCTTGACTTCTTCACCAGCAGATTCGACATTAAATCTGCCGAGGGCCCAACCTTTTTTTACCTAGATTCGAGTCCTCCGTGGATGATCAAGTGTCGGCCCCAGCGAGCCACACCGAAGCGAAGCCGCGGGGCTGGCAAATCGCTGCTCGGACCTCGATGCCACTGCATCGTTGAAAGGTCCAGCTGGTAGCCACGCATATCTGACAGAATCCCTCCTGACCGATCCAGAAGCTCTGTGTCGGTGTGCCAGCTCAGGGTCTGACGTGACTTGTCGGGTCGGACGCTTACTCCCTGTCCTGTCAGCGGCTCGCAGTGCTCGCTGGTGCCACCGAAAGTGACCAGGTAGTCTTTCCCATCCAAGAACCTGATTTCTCAGCTTCAACAAGTTGGCATCAGGGGAACGTGCATTCGAAGACGGGCAACTCCTTAAGTCTCCACAAAACCCAAAAACAACAACAGGCCACGAGGTGTGGCAGACGGAGCCGTGAAAGGAGCGCCAGTCAGGTGCAGGTCCACGAGTTCGAACCGCCTCGACCACGAGAGGACTTCTGAACCACACCCTAGGGCTCTTTAGTACGATGAAATAGCAGATGGTCCTTTTGTCTTCTATTTAGCTGCTCGATGACATGTATGGTACGATAAAACAGTAGATACGGCAATACGAGAGCGCAAGTCACACTAGCATCTTTCTTCTGCTTTCTGACCGGCACGGCTATTGTTCTGGCAACATATCTATGTTGATCACGCAGGCGATAGGCCTGCACAGACTTCATGGGGCTTCAGGAACAACAGGAAAGCAAATGTTTCGATCTCTTCAGTGCGGTACTGCTCGTGTCATGGAAAGCGCTTCTTCGAATAGGGCCACAAGATGCTCTTTTGCACCGGCTTTGTAGAGTTTGCTGTCCGCCTGGACCAAGTGAGGCCGCGTTCCGTTACATGTTGCCAACATTGCAGGGGTTTGCCGGCGGTATGCGGGTCTTTGCCGTTTCGCTCCAGTCTGCTCGGTATCTGCTGGACATTGCAGCGAAGTCGATCTCAAAGTGTCGCTTCGGCAAAGGCTCGGTCGTTGTCTGGCTTTTCCTTTTTGATTTTGGTTGTTTTCCCGGATAGAACAAGCCTGTTTCTTGCTTTTTCTCGCTCCTGTGGCATCGAGACTTGCATTCTCCTTGAACTTCCCTTGCTGATCTTGATGGTCTTGGCTTGCACTACGATGCTCTTCTCCTGCCGAAGCGCACGTAGCTGCCCCAACATCTGGCCGGCCTTGTCGTCGTTTAGCTGCCTGATTTTGCCTGTGCTTCATGTCCTAAACCTCTTTCTGATGATTGGCTTCCCTTGCAGTAGCAGTCTGTTTGCGTGTCTCCCATTGTTTTCACCTGGCATGGCAGAACCAAGTGTAAGTGTTGAAGCCAAATCTGGCGGTTCCTGCTCAAGATAGATACGCCGCAACAAAGACAATAGGCGCGAGGTAATAGCAACGGCAAACCCGACACACATGGATGCAAATCGGATTCACATCACAGTCTTACGCAAAGTGCTCTCCGGCTCCACCTGCGACGACGCGTGCCTGCTGCTACTGCTACGGAATGCTACGGACTGATTCCTGCTACCGCCGCCACAGCAGGTAACAAACAGGAACAGCGTGATGATTCCTTGAACAAGTGTTCTTTTCACCACGTCAACCAGTACAGTTATAGTGTATCAGGCATATGCACAGCCCACGTCCTGCCTCCCAGGTGCAACTCCTCAGATCCAACACATACCTTGGGCCGGCTACTCGTGGAGCAAGCTTTCCTGTGGGTTTTACTGTTATCATGTGGTCGGCCCCAAGAGCCATTGTTGCGAAAAGGTGTGGCGCTCGAACGGCACGCATTGGGTGGTTTGGGTGGGGATGTCTATATAACGGCCCTAAGTGAGCTGCTCGACTGCGATGATGATCAAAAGCTATCATCACACTGAGAATGCTAGCAGTAACTGTCTGTCATTGTCCCGGCCGTTGTCCCGGCTGCTGTCATTCTTCGCAGCGCGGGTCGGGATGCGACCAAGGCACACGAAGTTGCAGCATGTTCTGTCTTGAATTCGCTCGTATTCGTCCTCCGTTGTGGGAATGTCGCCTCCAAACACCACGACCTGCAGCCGCCACAGAATCCATAAAACACAACGGGAACCGACACTTCAGGCTTGGCCTGGCCTTCTGCCCTCCATTGAAGGACGAGCAGGTCAAGTTGTACATGTACTCGGGGATGGTCCCGAAGGCTTGCATCTCACACCAGCGAATCTGCGAGCCTGGTGGGTTTCTGAGCGCGCAGGGACCGAAACGGTGCATCGGGATCGAAAAATGAAACCCGGCACCCGACTAGCCATGAATGAAGTGAACTATATTATATGACCCTGTGTGGAAGCCTTTCCTCAGGATGTTGCCGTTGCCGACAGGTCGCCATCTTCCTCCGTCACCTGGAGGAAGACAAGTCTCTGCAAGGCCGGTCGAGGCATTCCCAGCCTGTCAAGCAAATCGGAGCAAAGTCAGGTTTGCCATCGGAGGGTGCTTTAATTGTGGGGAGTCCTGGAATCGCCTCCGTGTAAATTCAGTGTAGATGCTGGAAGTGCGCAACGGTGAGATTTCGAGGCAACTGGTCGCACCACACCCAATGCAGAACCATCCGACCTGGCTGCTCTGGTGTTGGCATCGTGGCCCCCGAGGACCAGCACGGCGCTAGAGTATGCCTCCGGCGAGCAAATCCACGATCAGAGTTGGGAAGGCTTACAGACAGGACGCAGTGTCCTGCGTAGTTTGAAGGTTGTATTCTCAATCGTGGCTAACAGTACTACATCTCCTGCTACTACTCCTACTATTGCCACCACCACCACCAGCATCATCGATCAGTGCTAGTCACTCTAGGTGACGAATACGGCTGCCACTGACTGATCGCCATTTTTTGCCTCCCGCCTGGCTAGGACGAACCTACGATGCAAAATCTGAGAGGAAGTGTTCGTTGCGCTTTCAACTGCTATTGTGAGTGCGGAACAAATTCATCCAGCTCTTGCCGAGCTTCTGAAGCCGGCAAGTGCTTCGTCTTGACCACGCAGGTGGCGTGGCGCATGCGCTGCAGGGGCTTCAAGGAGTCCTTCCACAGCGGCTGCAGGGGTAAAGTAGAGAGCGTATGGCTCGTCAGGAAGTTTCTCATGAGCAGAAAGTCCTCCTTGAGGCTGGGACGGCTGATCGTGTTGCCGCGAAGATTGATAACGGTCACATTGATCAGCTCATCTGGAGAGACCATGTTTTTCATGCCGCCGATCCTTGGCAGGTTTCGGCAAGGCCACTGAAGGGGGCCAAGCCAGTACATAGCAAAGGCTCTGTATCACCAGCGGGCCCATCATTTCTGCGGTGTGGCCGGACAAGCCCAGCATGTCCTGCAGCTTCCGAAACGGCCACCCGGGCACCGCCTGTTGCCCTAAGCCGTCCTTACCATCCGGGGCAGCTGGGACATCGGCTGGCTCGGCCAGAGAGCGCAACAAGCTTCGACGCAGGGTGTGGTCGTAGCAGAAATCCTGGCCATGTCAATTCCCGAAGAGCCAGAACAAACAGCAGCTTCTAGCAAAATGTCGCTAACTGCGTTTTGAAGTAGTTGGCCTTCAAGACACGGCTCAAATAACTGATCCGCTGGACCCGACAGAAGCCAACACAAGCAGCCACGGCCACTCGGGCGTTTTGAAGCATGCCAACCCTGCCTCGCATCTCCAGGCTGCACGGAAAAGCCGCTTGTAGAAGCGAGCCTTGTCACCTCCAAGGAAGGAAAGCTCAAACAAAGCTTCACTCATGTAGTAACATGTAGTAACGACTGGATGCTGCACATATTCGGCGACAGCGGCCGGCCCGGCCTATAGAGGTCACATCCCTGGAAGATGCCCAGCTTCCCTCATGAAGTAGCAACGACGTCTCTCCGAGAAGAAACTGGCAAAGCGCCTGTGCCGCACGAGGAATAAGAGGCTGTGGGCTCTGCAGCTCTGCCAGCCAGCGTGACAGAATTCATTCCTTTCGCCCCAGCCTTCCACAAGTCAACCGAGTGCTCTACACGTTGATGGAACTCGCCGCAGGTCGCGCCAAGGTCCTTCCAGGGGATTTAGTCGGCACTAAAACCCAGAGCATCATGCAGCAGGCATGCTGTCCAGCAGCGGCCGTGCGGGAAGAAAGCAGCAAATTCGAACCAGCGCATCTTCGCTGATGATCTGAACGACAAGGCGATTCTATTACCGAGTTGGGCACACAACAGTACAATGCATGATGGTCGGCAAACAGCGATGACATACCCGGCCTCGACTAGTGGTCGCCCGAAACCAGCCATGCTAAATGTGCTAAATGTGCAGTGGTTTAACAGGCGGCTTTCTGCAAAGCAGGAAGTGTGAATTAAGTCCAGTTTGAAAACTTGATAGATAAGCCTAGGAAAATACATGCAAGTTCACTGTGGCGTTGCTGAGTCCATGAAGCTCGAACTATGTACAGCCCAGCTCCGCTCCACAACTGCGAAGCTTGAGAGGTGGTTGCGGTTCCTTTAAAGGATCTATAGGGTTTAGGGCTTTAGGGTTTTTAGGGCTTAGGGTATTCGGTTTAGGATTTAGGGTTCAGGGTTTAGGATTTAGGGTTCAAGGTAGCGCACCATGGCAAAGCAAACAATCCAAGTAGATGCGGGTGGCAAAAAAGCTTTGATCGACTGCCACATTGATCACCGTGACACAGGTACACAGGCGTACTTGCAAAGCACGCATCGTAGTTTCCTTGTTCCTGCCCGAGTGCTCAACAATGCTCGCTGCTTTTGGGAAGGCCTTCACTCCGAAGGCACTCGGTGACGCTTTCCGGACGTGACATATCCGGCACCAAAGTCTTCCCGGACTGTGCAGCACGTCTCTTCTGAATGCAGAACCCAGAAGTGTAGTGTCAAATGCAGCTCTTGATTTGCAAAAGCTGCGGAAAAGGGGCTCGGTGGCCAAGGTCTGAACAACCGTCAAGCCAGCGCGCTTCGAAATTTTTCGAAAAGTGTCCCGGTGGTTGTGGCTTTGCCATCACCGGCCTCATTGACCGGCCAGCGTTCGAAACCTAAACCAGCAGCAACAATGCAGATTCTGGGTGATACCAAGTTCGCGTCGCGACATGTGTGAGAGCAGGAGTACATGAGTGCATCATCTTACTAAGGTCTGCCCAGCAGCGGTGCCATGCACATGTGGAAGACACCACGCCAGCAAGATTTCAGACTCTGAGGGAGCACGCCCAACTGCAGCCTGACCTCATGGCTTTCAGAGTCCCTCCTGGAAAATGCCGCAAACATGGTGCCAGCTGAGCCCTCTGCAACGAGAGGGTAAACGAAGTCAGGGAGCTTCTGCCCGGCCTCCGGATCTTTTCGCACAGCAATCCACAAACGGAATCTGAACACATCAATAATTCCGACTTCCTGCAAGATGCTTATCGGCAAGGAAATTCCGCCCGCCTGCGGCAAAGGGATCAGTGTACCACCAAAGCCTGGAAGAGTGGACCTTGCTTATGCTCCCAGACACTCGATTTAGCACGCTGCACATGGCGGGCTCGACATGAAAAGGCCGAAATCATGCCCACACAGTGTAAGAAATGTAATCGCATCACCCGTCTGTATGCAATCGGCAGTGGTGCGTTGCACCTTCAGCTCAGCTTGCTTATCTACGCTCTTTCGCACCACCTGTGGGAATGGCAGGCTGGGTCAACGCTTCAACATGGGTAAGTCACGGGCTTCCGCACAATGGCACGCTGGTGGCTGAACTCGTCGAAGCCAAATTTGCCATGGTACATTCCAAATCCCGACTCACCCAAGCCACCTTCAGCTTCATTCAGCTTTGCAAGTTCATTATACGCTCTCGAAACTCGGTCGCAGCAAGTTCACTGTAGGTTTTGGTGCTCAAGGTCTAGGAGTCTGGGGCTTTGTCAGGCGTACGAAGAAATTCTTCCCAACGGTTCGGGCTTGCTGTCTTGAAGTTGCCAGATAGTCCTTCCGAGGCTTCATCCAAGAATCCGAATGGGATAGACTCCGGAAGGACTTGCTCGAAGGTGGTGTTCACTCCGGCGCCCCCACTCTGAACAGTGGTCAAAGCCTTCTCCACGTTGCCTGGAGATCGCATGCGGGCATGGGCATGATGTGCATTCACAGGCTTGCATCGAAAAAGGGCGCAGCTTTCATGCTCTGTAAGCGAACGCTATGGGTGCCCGGGCACGGGAGCTCTCCGAGAAGACATAAAAAGCCAGTGGGATCTCCCCCTTCCTGACGATTTCCAGCGCCTCCCTCACAAGGCACAGGGAGAGAAAAGAAGTGTGGACTGGTGTTGCGGACAGAAACCAATGACAACTCACAGCTTTCGTTCAGCAGAGGCTCTCGAAGTTGTCATAGGGAATGACGGGCAGGACCGGGCCGAAGATCTCCTCCTTCCTTGTGAGTGCTACATAGGGGGGCGCCTGGTCTGGGCCGTCTTTATCCCAGCCAAGCTTCATAATTGGAGCATCCATGTTCGGCTGCTTGATGATGGTCGGAGGTACGAAGCACTCGCTCTTCCGGACGCCCTGGACCGCGCATCGATATGCCTAGCCTGCTGCAACTGCTCTCTACCCAAGCCCCGACCTCAATTCCTCCATGAACGACCTCTCCGCCGCAAGTCTTGATCAGCTTTTCCACTCGCTCAGTGTGTCGCTCGTTCACGAGGTGCCCGTAATCTTCTGCGGAAGGCGGGGCAGGAATAGGGTTGGCCCGGTTTGTGTGGAAGTTGAGCCCCGACCGACCTTGCTGCCTGCCGTCTTCTCCATAGCTGGCCTAGTTGGCATGCCGTTTAAGACGGGAAAAAACTTCAAACAAGTCATGAGCAGGCTCCTTGGCGAGTTCGGTCATTTTCTCTATGAACTCCTTCTCCTTACTCCGGTGCACGAGCACGTAGTCCTTAGCTCCGAGGGGCATCATGCAACCGCTTGTCTTCCTGCTGGAACCATGCACCTGCTACATGTGTTTCGACGGTCTCAACTCTCACAACTACGACACGATAAGGACTTGAGTCAAGACTCAGGTGCAACGCAAATTTGACCACAAAGCATCCACTTGGCAAAGGCAATGCGGCCGCAGGCCACATCCAGCTGGGCAGGGCCATGCAATTAACTCAGGGAACTCACTGGCGCAGGCGATGCTGTGCTAGATGTACCGTAGTCATATTTTCGTCACTAACAGTAACTACAAACTCCTGACTTGTACGGTGGCAGCTTGTCCCGTCCTTTGCCGTCTCGTCAACAAGTACCTTGGTGAAGGGTCATCGTCTTACCAACACCAGCGAGAAGAAACGACAACAATAACAACTACAATCACCGGTCTCGCATGCCGGACTATGGCCAGATGCTGGAGACTTGCCGCCCAGCTCCATGGTCACCTCACCGGCAAGCGCAGTAAGCGGTAAACTAAGAAGCAGGCTTCCAGTGAACGAAGAAAATAATCTTCAAGGAGCAACATGAGCAAAAACCTACCTAACCGGCCGTACACAGTTTTGTTCACGCCCTGGGTTCGAAAGAAACCTCAGAATTTAACAGCAAGGGGCAAACCACTCGAAAGGAACTAGAGAATTTCAGAAGAAGGAGCAAACCGCTCGAAATTACCTAAAGAATTTCGAAAGAGACTAGAGCATTTGACAACAAGGAGAAAACCGCTCGGCAGGAACTCGAGAATGTCAGAAGAAGGAGCAAACCGCTCGAAAGAGACTAGAGAATTTGAAAACAAGGAACAAGGAAATTTGAGAAGAAGGAGCAAGCCGCTCGAAAGGAAGTAGAGAAATTGATTTCAAGGAGCAACCGCTCGAAGGAGACTACAGAAATTGGAAAGAGACTAGAGAGCTTGAAAACAAGGAACAAACGGCTCGAAAGAAACTCGAGAATTTCAGAACAAGGAGCACACAGCTGAAAACAGACTAGAGAATTTCGAAAGAGACTAGGGAATTTGAAAACATCGGGCAAACCGCGCGAAAGAACTAGAGAAAATCAGACCATGGAGCAAACCGCTCGAAAGAGATTGGCGAATTTCGAAAGAGACTAAATCATTTGAAAACAAGGAGAAACCGCTGGAAAGGAACTAGTTAATCTGAGAGCAAGGAGCAAACCGCTCGAAAGAGACTAGAGCATTTTCGTACAAGGAGCAAACCGCTCGACAGGAACTAAGGAGGAAAACCGCTCGACAGGTACTAGAAAATTTCTGAGGAAGGAGCAACCCGCTCGAAAGAGACTAGAGAACTTCGGAAGAGACTAGGGAATCTGAACACAAGGAGCAAACCGCTCGAAAGAAATTGGAGAATTTCAGAAGACAGGGCAATCCGCTCAAAAAAGACTAGAGAATTTCGAAAGAGACTAGGGAAATTGAAAACAAGGAGCAACCGCTCGAAAGAGCCTAGATAATCTGAAAACAAGGAGAAAGCCGCTCGAAAGAAACTAGAGAATTTCAGAACAAGGAGCCAGCCACTCGAAAGGAATTAGGGAGTTTCAGAACAAGGAGCACACCGCTCGAAAGAGACTAGAGAGCCCGCGAAGGGCGGAAGCCCGAGGCTGGGAAAGGAGCGAATTCCGGCGATAGCGGAAAGTCTGGATGAAGCCTTGTCAGGAATTGAAAAAGCCGTGGGTGGCCTGTCAAGGTGTTTTATGCCTTCCTCGAGGCTTCAGTTGTTCCTTTGCTTCAGGGGCCATTTGAAGCCCCCTTACAGGGCCCAGATAAATCCCATTGCCGCTAAGGGAGGCCGTTCTCTAAGACCTCCACGTGGCAAGGGGTGCACAAGGCGACCTTTTGAAGCCCGTCGTTGGGTTTGGAGGGCTTTTACGCCAACATCTCGGGCCCGAGGAATCTGGATCCGGGCTGTGCAGGGGCCAGTGAAACCCCTGTCCGCTGAGGAGAAGGCTGTGTTTTGGGTCATGACCACGCGGCAAGGTAGAAGAAAAACCCGTGCATGGGAGAGAAGGCTTGTTTGTATCTACGTTGGTGGAGATACAAATAAACTCCTGGACATGGCGGAGGGCTTTCTTTGAACTCTGCCCATGCGTGCTCGAGAAGCTGTGGAGCGCCGGGCCCACCAGGGCAGGGAAAGAGCCTTTCCGACAGAACCCCAAAAAAACTACCGGGGACCAAAAAAACCCAGCCCGTGGCTTTTCCTTACTCGAACTTCCCAAATTCGGTTTAGCAGGTACTTTTACTCTCAGGGTGTGCTGATGTCCAGGATAAAGCGCTTACGGCCGGCGGGCTATTCGACCCTCATGGACTCTAACGCGAAGTACTGGAACCCTACAACACTGATGTCTCTTGGCAAGTTGCTGGTGTCAAGTGCTTGGCGGCTGCAGCCATGACAACACGCCCGATTGCCCCGTTTCCTTTCAGGGAGGTTCTGAGATACGGTCCATGAGTCCATGATCATGTGGTACCACGTCTCTGCATGCGAATCGCTTGGATAAGCGGTCGGCTTCGCATGGCCGATGAAACATGTCCGTATTCTCAGGCCTGTGTAGAAGATGTGGTCCCATCGGTTGTTCAGAAGCGCTGTGGTCTCCGGCACAGCACCCTCGATCACCCTGCTACGCTCAAACGGAAGAAGTGCTCGTCATGAAGACATGGCATGTGCTCCCCTTGGCTCTCGCCTTGCCTGAAACAGTCTGGATCCATGTACTTGTGAATGAGTTTGGCTATCAGTGGCGAGGTCTTTGGGTTGAGCTCGCTTGGTTTCAAAACCTGGGCTGCTCTGTAAGCAACGCGCGATGACGGTCCTAGGGTTGCACGAAGGACCCCATCAGTCTGCGCCGAGTTGTTTCCACATTACTTCTCTAGCCGCTAGCCACTGCCATGCTTGATTGATGCATGCGACGGCCAAATTGCCAGCGGCAATGGCGGATGCCAGGGGTCGGATAAGCAGCTGCCACGGCACGTTCCTCGCAAACACGGCTGCTGCAATGCAGACTGAGTCGCCTCCATGCATGTACGATGCCCTGTCTCTTCGACGAAGACTATGCCCCACTGAAAACCCAAAGCAACGTACTCGCAGGAGGCAGTGTCCATGGAGCAATGATCAGCACGACTCCCTTTGGCTCCGGGCGGACGCACAACCTGCCAACAGCAAGTGACATCAGACCAGCGTGACGCTGCATTGCTCCATGCCTACGTCAAGCTGTTTTGGCGGTAGTGGCTCGTCGGATCTATCGAACATAGAAACATACCCGTGAACTCGCCATGCAATTCGATCTTCATGCAATTCGATCTTACTCATGTATAGAGACCAGCAATATCCAGCAATGGCTTGCCATTGGCTTCCGCAGCTGAGCTATTTGCAACTGCGTCAGTGCTTGCAGTTTTGGCACCAGACGGGTCATTCCTAAAACCCATCATGGCTCATGGTTGCTACATGTGGGAAACCAGGCCGGAATAGTGGCGCAGATGGCAGTGTGGCAGCTGACATGGCTTCCACCAACCCTTTGCGAGCGAGACGGCCTGTGGACCCAGCCTTCCACCCAGCGCTCTCCTCGGCATGAGCTGAACTTTGCGGTGCCCGACAAATTAAAAAAGCAAGCGCCACTATCATCATCAGTAGTAGTCGTCGTAGTTGGTCTTGTGGTCACGGGCATGCGCAAACACGTAAACCAAGACGACAGCTATCCTAATGGGTAATGGTGAGAATGATACGACCACAGTTCAAAAGACTGATCACGGCACTCGTAGGTCGCAGGTGCTGACCCTAATGAGGGGACCCTAATGTAGGACCCTAAACAGTAGGATCCTTATTATTAGGACCCCATAACCCTAAACCCTAAACCCCATAGTAAGACTTCTGAAAAGGGGGGCCGGGGCTCTGCTCCAGGAGTCGATGTTGGCCAGCGCATCATCAACGCCTGCTTTCACACGAGCCGAACTCGAGGCTCTGACAGGGTTTTGGAAAAAAGGAGGCAGGTACTCAAAAGTGGCAGAACGGCCAATCGCGAGAGAGTCTTTTCCACAGTCTCACCGCCTGGTGCTGCTGCGATCTCAGGCATCCCTCGCATCTTCGTGCCACCCATGTCTTCAGCGATGGTGTTGCTGATCAGTTCCTGGTGCCACAGGCTGTTGACGAGGAGTTTCGGGAGCTTTGTCTTTGCTGAACAGGCTGGCCTGCTTTACACACACTTGATAACCGCCCAGTCCAAGTGGCATGGTTTTCCTCGTACATCTTCAGCAGCCTAAGCCAATCAGCAATGCTCTGACGCACCCGTAGACGTCGCATTTCTTGCAAGGCGCAAGCTACGTGGCTGCCAGGCTGCTGCTTCAGCTGGGTCTTACGCCAGGAAATGTCCCTGGGGGAAACAGGACGTGTCCCAAAGCTGTGCCGGGCTTTGCTGTTCTGCAACCCATACTACACAGTCTGACACCTAAGAACGGTCAGTGCCTTGATCTGCCCGAATTGAAAGTCTGCCGCATGCTCGCCAACAGCTGCCCATACTGGGTCGTCAGCTCCTCGTCCGGGAACATCCTAATTCTGAAGGTCCTCCGACTCCGAATCCTTCCTGCCAGGACCTCCTACTAGGATGACATAGGCAACAGGGTTCCTTGACTAGTTCGAAATCCAAGACTACGGACGAAACCAATACAATGGTGTAGGATTCAGCAGCCTGACTCCAAGCTGTCTCCAGGCCTCCACGCTTGGGGACGGGGCCATTTCTGCTGCAACGGTCTCCGTCACAACAGTCTAAGTCTAAGCCTATAAGCCTAAGTGTCTCCTCCGCTCAGCTTGAGCAAAGGCTGCCAAGGATGACGGGCTGCCGGAACTGGATGCTCAACTGCGACTGCCAAGCAGCTACAGTACCCCTGGAATGGAAGGCTATAACTCTCTACGGGGTCGCGCCATCCCCGGAGGCTCCGCGTTCGAACGAAGCAGGAGAACAAATGGGCCGGCTTCAACTGCGACGCAAAACTGATGTTTGGTTGTTTTGCACGGAGTTCATGCCTCAAAGCATGGTATGCTGTTCAGTTCACGGCTACCCTACGCAGGCACACTGCTCCGAGCCATTGCAATCAAGGGCTGTGGCTTGCATCCGGCGCAAGGGCGTTCAGCTCCCGTCGGACGTTACCTCGAACTCTGGGCTGGGCGTCTGCTGGCGGCACTGGCACCTGCGAGCGCATTCCTGTGGACAGTAAAGAAGCCGTCTGCAGATGCGCAAACTGCTGCAGCTTCCCCTGAAGCTTGTCCCTGTTGCCAGTATCGGCTGCTTCAACAGAAACCTCAAACATGTGTTGCCAGTTCTTGCCAGTGACAAGAAAAGTCTTGGAAGCCGGCAAGTAGGCAATACCGTTAGCCACATGAAACCCATACTGCTCTTCGGGGTCTTGCTCTCCGAAGCCTTCCAAATCGAAAAAGGACGTGCATTCGAACGTTGAGGGGTCGATGCCGAGGATGAACCGGGTCCTGTAAAGGTTTCCAAAGACCATCGGCCCCTTGCCATCGAAGTCAGGGACAAACTCAAGCTCATTCAAGCCTGGGACCTTATAACCCATGCACATCACAGGGGCCACCCGATTCAGCGCAAGTGTCTCAGAGTCCATTTCCATCAAGAACTCCGTCCCGTTGGTTGCGAAGTATCGGCCTTTCGTTTTGTCAAGGCAGAGTCCCCAACCCTCCTCTATGGGGTAGTCCAGCTCTCTATCGACGGAAAGGTCTGCATTGAAGCGAACCGCCTTGTGACCATGGTATGTCGCAACGAGCCATCCATCGGCAGTAGGTGCTACATCTTCTGCGAAGCGACCTGATAATCCAGACTTGGTTGTCTGCAGCACTGAGCCGTCCTTCAGATCGATCATGCGAATAAAGGACTCTGTTCCTGCTGGGTATGCCCCACTCGTTTCAATCAGTTTGCTCTGACCAGCTAGCTCTAGCCCTTGGGTAAAGGGAGCCCCCTCATGTGGCAAAGTGCGAAGGATTTGTGCTTTGTAACTCGCCGGCGCTGCGACGGAACATGACGGGACCAGCGCCAGCGAAAGTATGAAGAATTGCTTCATCGCCCTTTGCACCCCTGAGGGGTGCAGGGCCTGCTAAGTTACCTCGTGAAGACCTGAAAGGAGCCACATTGGCTGCGGACGCAGCTCCGGCAGTGGAGCAGCACCGACAAAGAAAGCTGCATGGGTCGGGCTCATCAGGCAAGCACAGCACAAGCTCCTTTTGGACTTCTTGACGGCTCCTTCTGTCAGACGACGAACTCCTGAATAGCAGGCCTGGGATCTTCAGCCTCAGTGGGCCTCACGTGCAGGAACGAGTTCAGGCTACGGGCAAAGTCCACCCTCCTGCTTGTGTGGTTGACCTTGCTGCCATCCATAGCAATATTCCAAAAGGCGTAGCCGCGAGGTCGATTCGAAGGATCAGCTTCTTGATACGCTCTTTGCACCTGCTCGGGCCAGAAGAAGGCAGACCTCCCCGCGGAGCTTCCCGGTGCAAAGCTCAAAGCGGCAATGAAACGGCTGGGCTCCAAGTGAACAGGCACCGATCCTTTCAAAGGAAGCATTGGGTCGGTAACGTTGATCCTCCACCCAGCCAGGAGGCCGGCGGCCCAAAGACGCAGGTACTCGTCGCCAGGCATGCCTGCAGATAAACTCCGAAGGGCCGGTGAGAACGTCTCGTAAAGTTGCACCTCTACCAGGTCAAACGTCCCAGCCGGAGCAGCCGCCAACAGGTACGCGTAGCTATTTCTGCCCATGTAGTGAAACTCAGGATGCCAGTGCGGGTCAGAATTATTCAGGAACCGGTTGAACTCCTGCGTGGTGACGTCGAAATAGGACTGTGGTGGGGCCAGCGTCGCCAGCAAGCCCGCCGTTTTGGCGGCAACGGACATGTCAATCACTAGCTGTAGGCATTGAGGAGTAAATTCATTGCCGCGGGATGACACATCGTCGTTTCCCTCCAGATCCCAGTCGAAGCCATCGAAAGGCACCGCCAGCCGGTTGTTCCATTCGTTCCACACATCAAACCACTGTTTTCCAGAAAAGGAAGTGTCTGGGTGCGGGGCGTCCCAACCACCAATAGTAATGAGGTGCGAGGTCGGCAGCCCCAACTGTTCAATAGCGCCCCGAACTTTTGCCACGCACTCAATGTTTGGACCACCGGTGATCGTGGGCTGTTGGGTGCTTTGGTCTTTGACCAAAGAAATCGCAAACCAAAAGATTACGTTGACACCCTCCTTCACAGCGCGAAGAGTCTCCGTCTCATTGCAGGCTGACCAATCCTGCCAAGCTGCTATGATGGGACCATCCGGGAGACTCCCAGAAGCCAGGAGCGCAAGGGACGCCAGGAGAGCCTTGCTCAACATCAAGGATGCCGTGTGCGAGGAGGGAGGCCCTTGAAGACTCTGAGAACGCTACTGCTCTAACGCTACTGCTCTGCCAAGAGTGCTCTGCTCTGCCAGATTCCTAGAGGTTGCTGCCAGGAAATGGAGTTGTCCTCAGTAGTTCAGATTAGCCCCTGCTGCAGAAACGCCAAGCGATGCACATGGGCCCTCATCGGTTTCACCAGGCAAACACAACGCGCAGTGACTCGGACAAGATGTTCTTTTCGTCTGCTGCAGGCAGTAGATCGAGCAGCTGCGTCAGCTCGTGGATTCTGGGCTCCACATCCACGTGCTTGCCTTAGCGCATAGGCAAGACATTTGTAGACACGCGATGAGCTGACCGCTGATGCTACACAGGGCTCATTACGACCCCGATTTCCAGGAAATCGTTCATGTGACGGCTCGAAGCAAGGTCTCACCCTTAGCCTGGCCTTCAGGGTCCAGCAGTATTTGTTTCGCCACGCCAGCGGCTTGCGACCCATTGAAGTCGCTCCTCGGGTCACTTTGCTGAGGGCTGAGAAGCTTCGGCCCTCCGGACTCTGGCAACAGCCGCAGACCCCAAGCCTCGTGCTGCTGCAAGCGACAATGTGACTCAACACAACAGCACAAAAACAAACGTAACCCATACGTGCACTCACCCACTGTCAGACAAACAAACAAACAATCAAACCAGCAAGCAAACCATACATCTATGCACGCATGAATGCATGCATGCATGCACGTATGTCTTGTAATGTACTGCACTGTAACGTATGTATCCGGTTATGTATATATATATATATATATGTGTGTGTGTGTGTGTGTCTATGCCTATGCCTCTGCGTATGCATGTGTCTCTAGATGTTTATGTGTGTGCGCATAGGCTGTTCTGTGGCCACGTCTGTCTATGAGCATGCATGTACAGGAAACATCCGCAGGTTGGTCCTGACACTGTCGCCCACCATCAGCGCTTCGGATGGAGGAACTCCCGCTGCTGTGCAGATTTGGTCGAAGATCCGAGGATCTGGCTTCACGATCCCCAGTTGAAAGGAGAAGCAACCTGAGCGGATGTGGCGACAAGCGGCTTCAGCATGCTCTCGCAAAGTAACCCGAAGTTAGACCGACAGCAAGTGGCAAAGTGCTGGGTCGAGGATTTCTCGCAGGCCCTCGTGTTGCAGGACATGCCTTCGCAGGTTCGGCTATTGCCATGGGTCGCATCCTAGTGCATTCAAAGGTTTCACAGAGACTTCGTCACATTCAACGGCAATGTGGTTTTTCCGGGCCGCGTATACTGCGGAGTCGCAGCATTTGAGAGAATGGCGAGCTTGTAGCCTCGTCTCTTGAGCTCCTGCAGAACCGCCGGGGCCGACTTCACCACAGACCTGGGCCAAAGGGTTGCGAAATGGAAGGGGATCCAGCCAGCGTGGGCTCTCTAATTGGAAGCTAGGTTGCTCTTGAGCTTGGTCTCGCTGCAGGATGGCTTCCAGCTGCTGCCGCGTCTCAGCGCAATCTGGAAGCCTGGTTCGAAAGGGAAGTGTGCCCTCATGCTACTATTGGGTCATGATGTCTCTCGCGCCCATGCAAAGTGGAGCAAGTACGAGGGAAGAAAAACGGCTGTAGCCTTATTGGGGGTAACGGGATGCCACGAAGGCGCAGCACGCATACAGCCTCTTTCCGCCTGCGCTTCTGTCGAGCAAGCTCTGGCCGTGAGACTTTGCAAAGCGAGAGCGACTGAGAATCGCCTTTGTGTTGTGAAAACATAAACCAATTCCAGGTACCGCTTGTCAAGATGTCATGTGGTGCTGATGTTTTCTGCTGTATGGGGGGCGGCTAAGATATCCATCGCCTGTGCTAGAGCCAGTCTGGAACACCATCCTCACCACACGCTACACACCGAATTCTTCCAACAGACAACCCAAACGCTTCAGGAAGTCAGCCTTCTTCTCCTTTGGGACTTTGTAACTTCTCCGCACCAAGTCGTGGAACTTCAGCGGGTCCTCACAGAAAGCACACACATTCGGAACCTCGACTTAGCAATGGACCTTGTTACAATGTACTGAGCATTTTCAAGTGCATGTCATAGCCATTCTCCGATGTTATGACTGTCGATACTAAATGATCGCACTTTGCCCGTGGGTCCAGGGACTTGTCTCGGTCTCCCCGGTGCGGTGGTTCAACCACCACCACATCACTGGCCTGAGCGCCCTCGTAGCAAGTGTCCGAGGGACTTGCATAGATGGGGCCATGGAAGAGGTCCTTGGTCAAATGGGGCGCCCCAAGCTTTGTTGCTTCTGCCGGCTGTACACCGGGCAGCCTTGCCAGTTCTATTTTTCGGACGCCAGTTCACAACTGTCAAGATTTAGTGCAGTACCTATTTGGTAGATTCCGAAAATGGGGGACCCTAATACAGTACCCTAAATAGTAGGATCCCTGTTATAAGGACCCCAAAACAGGGTGCCCCTTATTTTCGGAAACTCCCATTTCTGTTTACTGCATCCTCGCATCCGGCTCCCCCTCGACGACCTTGCAGGCACAAGCCAGGCATCTCGGCAGGTGAGTCGGAGAAGAAACCAGGACAGCATGGTGGCAGCTCTTTTCGGTCATCACTCCTCGGCTGCAGAGACGGCGAAGAACTCGTGCCTCGCACCCCAAAAAACACACAAAACACGGCCGGGTGTCGGAGACCTTCTCGTACCTCCTGGTCGGTGTTCTGCGTGGCCACATCGAGGACCAGGATCGCTTCTAGGAGCCCTCGGGCTTCTGTCAGCGGAACCTGCTGAAGGGGCTCGAACTCCGACAGCTGCGCCCAGTGCTCCCAAAGGTAGCGCAAGGTGTACCTTGCAGAGAAACGACAAGGAAAAGTTCCCGGTTTTCATGGGATTTGCTACCACCATGGCAAGAATGTGATCCTGCAGAAAAAAGTCTTTCAGAAACGAACAGCACAGGGTCTCACTTTCCTTCAAGCCGTCCTTCTCGGAGGCACCAGTTCCCAGCACGACCACTGAGGCCTGCTCCTGCGGCTTGACTGAAGGCGATCTTCAGAGAAAAGGCAGACAAACAGTCAGGTAGTCAGCCAGGCAAACAAACAGGCAGTCGCTCAGTCAGTTGCTTAGTTAGCAATTAGAGGTGCTAGAAAGTTGGAGTTAGTGAGAGATCGAGAGAGAAAGAGAACATAACGCCACGCAATGTCTTCACACCGTTCCTCGGCAGACTTGTCAGTTGCTTTTGAGGCTCGCAAACTCCCCAGGTTGAAAGAAGGACCTCTGTCCTCCCAAGCCAACAGAACTGCATGAGGAAGCCGACCAAGTTCGTGGGGCGGCTGGCCCCACACGATGTGCTCCCAGCCGTCGGCGCTGAGGTGGCAGCCGTGGACCAGAATCCCCGTGCGAGTGCTCTTGCTCGGGCTCTCAGCACCTTCCTTGGAAGGCGTAACCAACGCCGAACGTAAAGGGCAAAACTTCTTGTCTCGCAATGGAAAGATACGGCTGAGGACGAAGGGCCGCGAGTTCGAGTGTACTGAATACTTCACTACACTGTCGGGACGTACAGACGGCACCTAACAGACGCATGTGCTGATGCATCCTCAAGTGTGTCTGCTGACTTCGGAAGTACTGTCCCAGCTTCTTAAACTTGCAAGAGGCAGTGATATGGATAAGTATATGAACGGCATGGTTAAGCACGGTTTGCCTAGACACCATCCGACTTCAGCTGCAATATCTTTGCCTAAAGCTTGGGCTGCCAATGCTCCAACCATCCGTCTGTTACACTGTTGGCCTGATCTGTGGCTCTAGTTCCCGCGATGCTCTCGCCCCAATGTGGGTTTGCACGATTTCCGAGACGAAACACTCCCAATTTTGCAATTGATACTGTAAAGATTTTCTCGTGCAGGCCGCATCCTTGAACCCCACCAGCGGCAGCAGGTCTCCCGCCCTCTTCTTGGCCGGATGGAGCTTGGCGGCTGCAGCACAAACCAGGAAGCTGCTCGTGTGTCGCAGACGTAGCAGCTCAGCGGCCATGGCTGCTCGCAGCTTCGGGCACGATTCTCTGTACCCCAGGACCCAGGAGATGCTCTTTTTTTCACAAGGGACTCGACTGCTGCCCTTACTTCCCAGGAGATGCTCTACAATCCACAACTCTAGAACTTTGGGCTGTGTGCCGCAGCACGGCAGCGTATAGGAGTACAGGAAGGTGCTTGGAGCTCATGTGCTACTGCGAGCCAGGCTGCGGCCACAAAGGTTGCTCCTGCCCTCCAGCGCCACTGCCAGTGCCATGGCTGCCGAGGGGCTGAAGTCCAGTCACGAGAGCATTGAGGTACGACGCCTCACCTCCAACCTTGCTATAGCACAGCTCGCTGCTAGCTTCCTTTTGTTGAGACTTTCGGCACGAGCTGTTGCCCTGGACTGCGGGACCGTTAGAACAACTCAGGCGGTATCTGCATCCCACTTGGTGCCGCAAACGACAGCCTCAACTTGGCTGTAATCCTGCTTCAGTTGGAACTCTCTGATGATCTCGCGCTCGGGGTCGGAGCCGCCTTCTGTCAGAGTCTTGTACTGGTCAAAGATAATGAGACGGATGCCCTGAAAGAAGTCGGCGCTTGAACCAGCATGCGACATTGGGGTCCGGCTGTGTATCGAAAAAAAGATTCTTGTCATCCTTTCGTGGTGATTTCCTGCAGTCTTGGGGACTCGGCGATGCCTGGAGGATCGTTTGGGAATCGTTGGTGCCGGGTCTGACATTCAAATCAAGCTCTGAGCCTCTGAGCAATGCAGCTGCGGATCACTCTCTCTCGGGAACCTCAATCTCTTTGCAGCCATTACCTTTTCAAGGGTGCGGCAGCTTACTGCCCCGCCTCAGCCTAGGTGTGGTGCCAATTCACAGGAAGTTGTCTCTGCGGGAAGATATCGACATAAGACGGTTCGTAGAAAGCGCTTTTCTTCTGCGGAAACATCTGAAACCAGCCAAGTCGTCCTGGCAGTTGAGGAAACGGCCAGCCGGATCTAGTTCCGTGATGGCTTCAACTTGGCCGAATCTGCAGTCGGTCGTCCAGTGACAGCCACATCTCCAAGAACTTCGCGACTTCTGGAAGAGGTGCGGCACCAGCTTTGCTTGGAGGCTTTAAAATGTGATGGTAGCAGCAGTTTTACGTCTCCCACAGCTTAAGGATCTCCTCAGTTGGCAGTGGCTGGCGGTCTCTTGTCTGATGCACCGAAACAGATTCACATCCCAAAGATAAACAAGGGCTGCCAGTACAAAGAACCAAGGGGCCTTGGTGACTTCGAAGAACTTGCTTCGCAGTTGGTTCACCTTCTTCAGGTTGGACTGGACTCGCTCTTCTGTGCGAGCTTCAAAAACCTGTATGTGGTTCTCAAAGAACATGATACCTCGAAGAGCCGAGATGAACAGTCAGTGAGATGCTCCGGAGGCCAAGTCCTTTCTACCTACTCCACCTTTCCATGCCCAGGCGCCCTCTTCCCGAAGTGTCACGAGAGCGAGGCCATCGGAATCGCAAAGAACCCATCCTTTGAGTCGTTGGTAGACCTTCCCAGCTCTCCACTTCACGACACAACTCGGACTCTGAGAGGCAAGCCTCTCGGTTGGCCGTCGTTCTCCGGGGATCCTCCTCAGCCACGATGGGGTAGGCCTTCGCATCACATCATCCGGTAATGTTCGGCAGCTTTTCAATGGGTCTCAGCCCCGCTCACGTTCCCGGACACGTCTCCTGCTCCCAAGTCTTGGCGGGGCCTTGAAATCCTGGATGGGGCATGAGAAGATGAAGTGCAAGTTCAGCGGTGGCTGCAGCCAGGCCTGGACCGTCGACCGAGCTGCCGCACTCTACGGTCCGAATACCGTTTTCAGGAACAGCAGCAGAGTTTAAGGAGGCGGCTTCTAATTCGGAACTCATGCAGAAGACTCAGAAGACGTAGCCGGCGTAGCCCCCACACACACACACACACACACACACACACACCGAGGGCAAGTGATGTGAAGGAGCTTGTGCTTGAGAGCGGGCTTTCAAGCTTTCCACCCAAGTTTAATGGTCGGAACCCAACCCAAAGAATCGCAAGACGTGAAGGGGGAGGGAAATCGTGAGCACCGCTCAGAGACCTGCGATGAGTTTGCCTCAAGAAGCTTCGCATAGACTTGCTCCGCCCGATCGCGATCACGACTCTTGGGGAAGCCTTGGCGACTGCACCCGGCACTCACCGCGTGATGACTTACAGCAATAATAACCGTCTTTTCAAGTAGGCAAGGAGAACAAACGTAAAAACAGTAACTTTGACAGTCTTTCGCGGCTCTGGCGCTGACCCGTGGCCGTGGGTAAAAGGGAAGCCGATCAAAGTTGGTCTCCTGGCAAATGAGCCTAACTCGTTTGCCAACGGTTGCCGGTACAATGCTTGGGGCGAGTCGTCAACGAAGTTTCAATGGCATGCCAGCACTACTGGAAGAGCCCGTGCTTTCAGAGATTCACTACTTGCTTGCACGCCGTGCTCCAAGCAATCACCCGGGCCTACACGATTCTCGCACGTAGCTCTTGCAGCCCCCGCATTTCGATATTCTGCCTGCCTTGACCCATAGCGCGCGGTTTCCCTATGATTGGGCTCCTGATCCTCGCTCCAGACCCACGCCGGTGCAGGCTGCGGAAGCAGGCCAGGGAAAAGAGGGAACGGGATTCCATGTAGGGCCTTCTTTCATGTACCCCTTACCGGCTAGCGCAGAAGTGCAGGCTGCTTGCATTGCACTGGGGCCATTGGGGTCCCGAGACTGCGGTTGAGTACCTGGGTTCCTGCGGTCTCCCTACTCCTGCCTGCGGGAACAAGACACAGATTGGCAGCCGCAAAAGCCGGAAACCGTGCTCAGATGCCAGCTTCTCCTTAGCTGGGGCGGACAGCTGACTATATCTCGGAGAAGCACCAAGCGTAGCAACACCTCTGCAGGAACTTATGTTGCTGCATTTGGCCTTCCTGCGCCTTACTGTTCGATGCGCCGTGTGCGAGCAGAAGTTCACGCCCTCAACTCGAATAAGAGCTTTAGCTAGCGTCCAGCTTGGTGAAGAAGGATGCCAAATGTATGGAGGAGCATGCCATCCTCAGATTCGGAATGACATTGAACCACAAAGTCTGCAGTGCCGAGAGAGCGTGGCAGTGCGAAGATTTAGCAGCCAAGGCTCCATTCGACCACGAGGTGAAAGAATTTGGGAGGGCAGAAGACATCGTCGTAGAAGAATCCAAACCAGTCCCGGCTCTGGGTGAATGATGTCCTTGGTTTGCAACTGTATTGTCGTGCATGTGGGCCCCGGGTTTACACTCCAGCACGAGCTGGTGCTTTACGAAGGGTGAATCATGCGCCTCGATGACCGTCACTGGCACCTGCAGTAGACGACTCAGCGCAAGTGTCTGGCAAGGCTTGCTGGGCTTTGCTTGGGCGTGTGCACTGGCACGCGCATTCGGAGCCCAGCCAGCAGAGTACTGACGCGAACCCGGTTGAAACCACACACGGAGGACTTCGATAGTGGGAAACGGAGAGGCGCTGCTGATCTCCGTCTCAGGACCAGCAGACATCTACTGGACGCAGGCACCGTCGGCTAATCTTTACGAGACTAAACCCATCTTGTATCGAAGCACAAACTTCGCAAACCTGCGATGCTGCTGCATAGGGACCTTCATGGTCAGAACAGGGCTTCGGGCATATTATGCTACCTTATTGCTGGGGATGATATGGGGATGCCCAATTCAGCCAAGCTTCCCCAGCTCCGCCCTGCAAACTGACACTTCTTTCTCTCCTCTTCCCACGGTGAAGTGCACGGAGTTGGTATCAATGTCCTGAGCTCTTGTGCGATAGTTTCAGAAATAGGGGATCCCAATATAGGGCCGTAAACAGTAGGATCCTGCACCTTAGTAACTTAGTATAAGGACCCAAAATAAGGTACTCTAGAATGCATAGCTCGACTCTGTGAAAGAGAGGCGAAACCCACAATGACATCCATCAGTCTTATACCGCAGAAACTGTAGACTTTATCAGCAAAAACGAGCCGTTCTCAACATGATAAACCCAAGAACCACCTCAAGCTTTTTCAAACTTGGTCTGAGATGCCAGAAGCTCTTTCTCGAACTGCTCATTGGGCATTCGTCCGAAGAGCAGCCTGCGAAGTCCTTCCTGGAATGACTTGAACCTGACCAGAACCCCCATCGCACTGTGGAGGTTTACATGTACCTACTTGCGAGGTTGAGGTGTTCACAGTTGGGCGCCGAGGCTTGAAAGTCCAGCGCTTCAACTGGATCTGCTTTTTCGCGCCGGAACTTCGACTACGGTCGGTGCTCAAACAGCCGAGAGCAAACTGAAAACCTTACCAAACCTTGGAATCAATGCTTCTGGGACACCTTTCGACCGTCTGCGATCGAATTTCATCCTTACATACTTCCAACTGCCGCAGGAATCTCAAGCGAGCTTCAGTACAAAGTGTGTGACATGGTATGACATCGTGGAGGGAACTACAGAGGGAGTGCCCTCTCCTCCCAGGATCGAGAGATCCCTTTTAGGATCCCTACTATCTCAACACTACTTCTGCCGAAGTCTCGAAGTCCTCAAGCAGCTTCTTCGGGTCGTCGTTGGGGTCGACATCATCCTGGCGCATATGCCCAGGAGACAGACAGAGAGAGAGAGAGAGAGCTCTCTCTAACTCCGACGTAGAGACACAGGTAGACTAAGCGCATGTTGCACCAGAGAAATAGTTGTGGACTCGTGGACCTAGCTCTTCATCTACATTATAATGGTCAGCATTTTACTTGTACCGTCCAGGTTGCTTGCGTATTGTTTCGATCTCCCCCGGTCCTGTGCCACCGTCCCGATGTTGTCAAAAGCAGTAGTCACAGTTGTCGTGTTGCGGGAAACGGGCGGCTGCTCCTGCGGAGCAAAGTTGAATTTCCGACCATTTCGCAGATTCTGTCCCTGCGAGGCACTCCTGAGGTGCGTCCGCGGAATCTCCCAAGCCATCGAGACCGAAGTAGAGAAACTCCTCGCAACGGATCCAGCAAGGAAAAAAGAGAGAGTGCGAGAGAGAACGGTTGTGCTCGTGCTTCGAGAGCCCCTTCCCTCTCTCCCCTCCCAAGGCTGGGATCCTGGATTGAACTTGAACCAGTGGCACTGTGACGCCGGCCGTCTGTAGGGTTCACTTCGCTCCTGCAGCACAGAGTGTAGCTGCGAACTGACCTCAAAGGTAGCAACATCTCAAATGAGCGGCTCAGCATTCATGGCGACCTCATTTTGCGGTAAGCTTAGGCTCTCATTTGAAGAACAGGCCAGATCAGGCTGAAGTCTGAAGCAGAATGTCAAGCCCAAACCCGAAGAGCTGGTGCCTCGAAGTTTGGCGAGATGGCAGGCTCTGATCTTCTGCCAACTGTCAGAGGCATCGCACAGGCGAGCAACTTGTAGATTTGATTTAACAGAGGTAGTAGAGCATGGTAGACTAAGACTAAGCTGTCACCAGGCCCCTGTTACTCATGATTGCCGGCAGCACGGGGCAACTCATCAAGAACAGACATCGACCTTCGCCCCTGTTATCTGCAGAGCGCCTGATCGCGGACATACTCCTGTCTTTTGCTCAGTGCCTCCATGATAAGCTCCTGGCTGGGAGCTCGGTTGCAGAATGCGAGCTTTGGCTGCAGCATGCGCTAGCAAGACAATGCCAAAGGACTCGAGTGCTACAATGTGCAGATGCAAGATTCATGACCCACCCGTCCCGATTCTTCTCAAAGCTCCCGCTTTGCTCAAACGCATCGAAGGGGTCTTTGCCTCAGATGGTTCGCACTCTTTGATGCCGTCCTTACACATGCAGTAGTCTTGCCTGGAGTCTGCAAGGCCTCAATTCGGACGCCAAACATGCGGCTAGGGCACCTAGGACTATCTTGCCCTCCAGGTGGGACAAGACGCACCTGGAAGAGTTGTTGCTCGCATCATCACCGAATTGCATGCTGGCTTGACCGGACATCCCTCACTCAAGAATGCCATGGACCTAGCGAGCCCCGGCACCATTCAGACTCCTTTCCAGACAATCTTCAATATTGGCACGATCGCCCTAAGTGACTTGCACATGTTCTGGCAAGAGTCATGTAGTCGTGGCAAAGGACCTACTATTTACACACTGCCACACCGCAGCCAACGCAGACGCAGCCCACACGTGCACGCACGATACAACACGTCGCTCTCGTCCTGCCCTGCTGACATCTCATATGCTCATTCTTCCATTCCAGATCTGTGGTACAACTGTTGCCGCAGCATGCACTTTGCTTTCCCCAATGTCTGCTTGGTTCGACATCATGCACGCATCGCGGCCTCAATTCGGTCACTTTCCGTTCCCTATCTAAAGCAGCCCTGCACTTCGCAAGCTGTGGAACCATCCCGCCACCACTGCCTGCAGATCGCTCACGCAGTGCTCTCGCATCAGGTTTGTGCGCTTTCTCGCGTGGATGCATCATTTATCCGCGTTGTTTTCCAGACTTTGTGCGCTCTCGAGACTGTCGTGGCTTTCCTGCACCCCTGCTGGGAAGCATCCTGGGTGTCTGGAATAGGGATGGCCGAATGTTGCGAGTCTTTGCAGCATTTGAGTCTTGCACACTACTGTAGCCCGAGGGCATAAGGATAAACATTTGCAACGAGGGCATCTGTGTGGAGTGCCTGCATATTGTCCCCCCCATCATGCTACCCCATGTTCTGTGATGATTTTGGGCCGGCCTGAAGATCTCGGCATGCGACGAAGCCAAGCAGGACTTGGGCATGAGCATGAGCAGATGCTGCTTCAATGCTCCTGGCACGAGTCAGAGCTGGCACCTCAGAGAAAAGGACTGTGGCAACTATATCTATACGCATGTGTATATATATATATATCTACATACATACATACATACATACATACATACATACATACAGACAGACAGACAGACAGACATACATACATGCGTACATACATACATGCATGCATGCATGCATACATACATACGTATGCACACACATACATATGTACATACGTACATGCATCCATGCATGCATGCATACATACAAACACACATAAATACCACAT